TTTTTTAGGATGATAAAATATGTACCTCAACCTATTTTATCTTCCTAATTATATCTCTTATGTCTATTCCAAGAACTTTTACAAGATTTTGTCTTTGTGTTTTCAGAATTTAACAGCTCTTTTCTGGATGCACTGGGTTCTGATGAGGACTCTGGAAATGAGGATGTTTTCGATATGGAATACACAGAAGCTGAGGCCGAGGAGCTAAAAAGAAATGCTGAGGTAATTTTTTACCCCTGGGTAGAATCAGTCAGATTATCAGTGTTACTCCTCCTGCACTTTATCTTCATAGTCCCCACTTTCAATCTTCATTGCAGTTTCATTTCTGCCTGTTTGGCAGCCATCAAATGGTCTTCATTTTCTCTTGTTATTTGCTCTTTATTTCTTACATATAAGATTCAAAACAAAACAGGAGCCAGGCACAGTGGCTTATGCCTGTAATCACAACAGCTCAGGAAGCTGAGGCTGGCGATTGTTTGAGGCCAGGAGTCAAGACCAGCCTGGGCAACATAGTGAGACCTTACCTCCAAAAAAAACTTTTTTTTAAATTAGCCAGATGTTGTGGTGCGTGCCTATAGTCTCAGCTACTCCTAGCTACTTGGGAGACTGAGAAAGGAGTTTTGTTAGAGCTGCAGTGAGCTATGATGGTGCCAGTGCTGCTCTAGCCTGGGTGATAGTGTCAATTCCATCTCAAAGAAAAGGCAGGGGAGGGCTTTCTCCCCCACTCCAACTACCTGGAGTAAAAAATGAAAAAAAATTTTAAAAATAGAACAAAACAAAATAAAAACAGAAATGCATCCTGATCATCTTATGTACATGTTAGATAAGAACTGTGTAAAGGCATGTGTATATTAAATTAACCTTTAGTTCCACTAAGTAACTATATTATCTTTATACTTAAATACCAAAACCAGTTGTTTGTTGCTCAGTGAGAACTGTTGAATTAATGTAAACTAGGGCACATTGGATTTTTTTTTTTTTTACCTTTTTTTCCTTAGATAATTGCCTTTTCCCCCAAATTTTAATTACCCAGGATCCCACAATGCTAACACAATTACTGTTAGCATTTTGACATATTCTTTTGTCATACTCACCTCCTCATATGCTTTAAAAAGTCATAATATAAGTACAATTTTTATCCTGTTTGGGTTTTTTTTTGTTTTGGGGTTTTTTGTTTGTTTTTGTTTGTTTTTTGAGACATGGTTTTACTCTGTTGCCTGGGCTAGAGTGCTGTGGTATCAGCCAAGCTCACAGCAACCTCAAACTCCTGGGCTCAAGCGATCTTTCTGCCTCAGCCTCCCGGGTAGCTGGGATGTTTTGGGAGTTTTTGTTTTATTTTGTTTTTAGAGTTGGGGGTCTCACCATGTTGCCCAGGCTTGCCTTGAACTCCTGGGCTCAAGGGTCCTCTCACCTCAGCCTTCCAAGTAGCTGGGATGCATGCCACCACATCAGGCTTATCCTGTTTGTTAAAGACTAATTATTTATAGGCATCTTATTTTTTTTCTTTTATCTGTAACATCAGAGATAAGGATGTTATAAATGGCTGTACTATCGTTCTCTCAAATGAACATCCTACTTATTTAATTTTTAACTAACACTGAGCATTTGTTTAAGTTGTTTCTATTTTTTCACTGTAATGTAATTAATACATTGAGAAACTGTGTATGATTATACTATTTTCCATATTTTGGATTTTCTCCTTTAGGTAAATCCCTGGAAGTAAATAATGCTTCAAAAGTTTATGAACATTTTAATAGTTTCTGGTTTGCATATAGCTATATTCCTTTCCAAAATTTTATTTTATAGTGCTGCCTACATTTTATGGATATCACTTTTCAGTTTTGTTTTCTTACTAACAATATTTTAATGGCATTTTAAAAAATATTTGAAATGAAAAAGTTCACTTGTAATCCCTTCAGCAACACAGCAACTCTTTTTCATTTTTTCATTCTATTGTCCAATACCTGTTAACTATTTTTACAGAGCTGTAGTTATTATGTGCATTCTCGTGGGTCTGAAAATCAAGTTAATATGTTACTGATCCGCATCAATTTCTTTAATATAATAATTGAATGATATTTCATTGAATTGATATACCACTAACCAGTCAACTATTACTGGGTATATTGTTCTGACTTTTCAGTAGATAATGCTATAGTCTATAATTTGACACATATGCTATTTTTTTCCTTTGAATTATTTCCTTAGGGTAAATTCTTAATTGGAGTGGAATTCTTAGGTCAGAGGGTATCGACATTACAACCACTAGATTTTTTTAATTTATTGATTATGACTACTCCATACACTGAAGTTTACCATGTCAGCTTTGATAATAAATATAAATTCAGTGTTTTGCTTTTATTCAAATGAAGAGTTATGTCCACTTCTGTTTTCCAGACAGGAAATCTTCCTCATTCCTATCGGCTCATCAGTGTTGTCAGTCACATTGGTAGCACTTCTTCTTCAGGTAAATGGACATCATGGTTTCAGCATATTATAAATGAAGTAGCCAGCATTTGCTCCTTATTACATTGCTGTTTGACTGGCTTTGTGAGGTATAAGATGAATACATCAAGAAAAAAACTTTTACATCTCTTTTTGATCACATTCGATATGAATTGTGGGGAGCGGGGAGGAGGAGATGGTTACATACACACCTAATGGGTGCGGTGTGCACTGTCTGGGGGATGGACACGCTTGAATTTCTGACTCAGGTGGGGCAAAGGCAATATATGTAACCTAAACATTTGTATCCCCATAATATGCTGAAATAAAAAAGAAAAAAAATAATGAATTGCATAAATGGATGTAACTGTTTTTATTTCCCTATTCATAAATGACCTAAATTTTCCTGAGCAAAATATATTTATCAAAAATGGTGTCCCAGTATAGTATATTCCTCCCTAATTCTCTATATGTGTTTTTAGAAACATTGTTGGGGGTGGGGGTAAGATGGATGTGGTAGCTGTTTCTCTTTCTCAAATTTCCTGTACCTGAGAAAAATTCAGTATGTTTTTAAAAACCTCAGTTTTAAAATTTTATTTGTTACAGGTCATTACATTAGTGATGTGTATGACATTAAGAAGCAGGCATGGTTTACTTATAATGACCTGGAGGTATCTAAAATCCAAGAGTCTGCCGTGCAGAGTGATCGGGATCGGAGTGGTTACATCTTCTTTTATATGCACAAGTAAGAAACTTTGCCAGATTCAAAATAACGGGTGAAAAATCACCTGAACGTTTCCTTTTCCTCTGAGGGTAAAATGTTCCTTGTAAGTCCAGAATATTTTTTCTCTTAACATTAATAACTCATCACACAGTAGTATCTAGGTGTGGAACTTAAGACAGTTTGTTTCATGATAGAAGCTGTCCTGTCACAAACCTTTCTGTCTTCCAATTTTACTAGCTAGAAGATCTGATTTATATGGATGGGAACTACATAGCATTTTCATTAAAGCTAACTGTTGTCAGTTCCCCACTATTCTCAAAAATCAGCTCCCCACTATTCTCAAAAATCAGCTCCCATGGGGTTAAGATGGTGATCACATGAGTGAGCTGTTCATTTAATAAAATGTAGGCACCAAATGGGATTATGCAGGCTTTATCAGCATCTATTTTCTGTTGCTTTTTATCCTGTTTATCCTTTGGTTCTGCTCACTAAATTTCCTGGGGGTCTTTTTGTTTTATTTTAAGAGAGATCTTTGATGAGCTGCTGGAAACAGAAAAGAACTCTCAGGCACTTAGCATCGAAGCAGGGAAGACTACCCGTCAGGCCTCATGAGGAACAAACTCCTGGGATGGCAATTGTGCACTGCGTATTCTCCTTACTGCCGCCCACACCTTTCCTCTGCCCAAGGAGAATTTGGAATTCTACTTGATGCGGGAGCAACAAACAGCTCAGGGCCAAACCAAAAGACTAAAATTGGAGTTATACAGAATGCTCCATGCTATTTTATGGAAACCTTGGTCTCACATCTGTAGCTGATTATCCTCTTTTTCTCCTACAAGAGTGGCACTTCCTTTTGTCTTAGGAATACATGTTGTAAATATATAAATATATATGTACATACACACACACACGGGATGAATGGAGCCTTAAAGAGTTAGGATGAGCCACAAGAGTATGCCTGCTCATAATTAATAGCACAGCAGTTTGGAGAAGAAGAGAAGCTGTCAAAGAGTCCATTCACCTGATAAATGTGTGAAGATATACCTATCGGTTGGCTTTTAGCTTTTATGTTTCTTGCGTAGTTTCACTCAAGTCTGTATACCTTTCATGTGTGTTTTCTTATTAGTAAAGTTCACTGGAAAGCCAACTCTCCATGTTACACTAATGACAGTTTGTTCTCCTTGCAAGAGAGGGATATTGCTGTCACCTGACTTGAGCTTTTTTTTTTTAAATTTCATGAATTTGTAATGTCTTTGCTGTTTACATGTAGTCCCAAGAAATGGATTGTTGGTGCTTTGGAATGTGTATGGTCTCCCATTTAATATTGATTGTACATTTTGTGTTTTCTCTAAAGAAATTTCTTCACACAGTATGTTCATTATATATCATCTATATTATTATGGAGATGAAGATAGAATCTTTTATTTTCTTCTGTATCATTCTTCCATGGAGCAGCATTACCCTAATGGATTGCACCCAAAACTTTAAGAGGGAGAAAAATAATCTCTCTCCAATTGGGACTCCCCAGCAAGAATACTTAGGGATAAGGAAGAATGCTAGCATCTCTGTCTCTCAAACATAGGACAAGAGAAGCATTCTTGTGTTAAAGCTAAAATTCTGGATCACTAAAGCTAAAAGCCCTACTGCAAATGTGAAATTAAGTACTTGAGCTATAGGATAAAGCTTGAGCATTTAATCATTTGCTGTCTGGCTTTACCCTTAAAGTAAGGTGGGAATTAAAATGTGATTGGTTTAGGGTATTGCAAGAACTAAGAAATAACAAAGGTGCATAATATATTTATCTTATTTGTTAGGTGCTCAGAGTTGAGGCTAAATGGGGATGCAACATCAAGTGCTACATTAGTCACTTAGCTGACATAACTAGCTTGGGTAAGCAGCTTATGAAACCATATAAAGAGTGAGTTTGAGAGTGGAATTCTGTCCACAAAATAATTTTGTGAGCTTGGGCATCATTAGGATCGCACAGAGTTAAATATAGCGAAATGAAACCTTCATTATTTTTTTTCATGTTTTTTCTTTTATTTTAAATAAGGGGATTATTCTTCAGTTCTGAGGGAGGGACAAAAACCACATCAGGTTTTCAGGAAGAAAAAACAGTTTAAAACCTATCATCACAGAAAATACAACATCTTTTCTAGAAGATTGCCTTAAGAGAACTCCAGCCCCACTCTTGGAACTTGGATGTGTTCTGACATAGTAATTATTCTAAAAGTTTGAATCTTTGAATTGTAAATGGCCTCAGCACTTTTGCTTAACTACTGATAAGTGCTTTGCTTCCTATCACCTGCCTACGTACATTATCGTAGTGGATGTTCCAAGGTGGTACAGTGGTAGGATATGCAGGAGTAGTTTAGTGCAGAGGAAAATACTTGTTTTCAAAACTAGCTTTTAAAGTTTTGTTTCATTTCTACCAGGAGCCTCATTTGGTTTTGTTTTGCTTGAAAATAACTGGTTTTCTCATAAATGAGTGAAATGGTGATCAAATTTTTTGGCTAGTTATTACTTCTTTTACCTATCTGTGTATTTGAGAGCTTTGAGAGGCATTGTTAAAAATTATTGGGAACAATTTGAAGTGAGGGCTGCATTAAGACATTAGAGAAGAATAGAAATAATACCCTAAGCCTAGACTGCCTCATGAAGCAGCCTCATTTGAATTGCTTTTATAGCTTGCAACATGTGTATGGTTTAGAAGTACACTTGGATTAGAAACCTGGTTTGATCTTCATGTCTTGAGCAGGACTTATTAGTTGAAGATAGGTTACTAGAGTTATCTCACTGCTCATGTACTTACAAGTTTGGAACTTGAATTTCACTTGATGTCTGTCCATCATTGTGGCCTTGTCAGCCTTCTTCCTTCACTCTTTTAACTTACTTCTTTGACTACAAATGGCAATTTCAGCTGGACAATGTTGATGGGGTTTGTTGGGTTTTTTTGAGCTGGTTATATATATTTAAAAATTATAAATAGATAATATATTATTTTTTTGCACAGTGTGATCAGTTTGCCCAGAATCAGGGGATGGAGCGGTTAGCCTGTTGGGGCCAGGAAGGGACAAGTGAGATTGGGAGACAGAGTGCTTCAGTTCCAGGCAGTCTGTACAGTACCTAATTAACCTTCCTGTTGAAAATACCAAGTGTATGGTTACATTACTTTAAATGACATTGAATTGGAACTTGATATTAATTAGTTCTGGTTACAACCTTTTGATCTTAGTTGGAATTTTTTGGAAGGGAAAAATAAAACTAAATTTCAAACTCATTGATTTTTATCCCCTAATATTATGCAGAGTTGGGAAGTTGCATGTTGCTGGATGCTGTTATCCCCTTAGTAGCCATGACTATAATTTAGCCCTATGAGAAGATAGACTCTATTTCGTAGAAATATATTTATATGTGTGTGCACACTCAGAAGTTTTGTCTCAGCAAGATAGAATAAGAAGCAAGTTCATGAATTGGTCTTCTATTTATATTTTGATTCCAAAAGCTATTTGTTTACTTGCTATGGTCTGTTAATTCCAGGCCTAACTTAAAAGGCTCAGTGACAAATATAACAAATGTAAACATGTTTACATTTTAAGTATTCAGTGGTACTTACAGATCAGTTAATTAACTCTGGAAGGCAAATATTAGACTACACATTTCTTTTTTTCTCTCCTTGATCAAATGTAAAATGCTGAAAGAGAGGCTTTAAAATGTAAAACCTCAGCAAAATAATCCATGAATTTACTTATTCTTGCACACGGCAGTTACCATTATGTAACTACATGTACAGCTACAGATATAGTTGTATAATGAAAATTATCTGGAAACATCTAAATTGAAGAGAAAAACAGGTAGTTTGTAAACTCACTTGTGATCTACTGAAAAGAGGTTATATTAAAACAAATAAAAACATTATCCTTCTCCCTCTTTCTTCTCTGTCTTCTGAAATGACTGCAATGGATACTCTCAGCTATCCAACTTTTGGTGGGGGCGGGGGGGCGCCTGTGTTTGAGTTGGTCTTTTGCTTTAAATTAGGGAAACAGCTAGATCTCCAAGTACATGTGGCTCTTGTATATATAGGGAGATTTTTAGAAAAATCATCAATCCAGCACCAGATGCAAGTCACATAAAAGTGTCCCAATAAAATGGATATGTCCTTTTCCTCCCCATTTTGCTCTTCACTGAGCAAGTGTGTACAAAAACTAATCAGATTTCTGCCCTCTTAACACCTTTCTATTGCATTACTTCAGAATTCTAATTTTGTCTCTATTGATAGGTCTTATTAACATCTGGAAAAAAATATATATTTTATTGGAAAACTATAGTTTGTTAAGCCTTGAGAGTTTTGTGGCAGAATTATTTTGCTCTGTTTCATTAGTCATTGACTACTTTATGGCATGCTTTGCTTACTAGACTTCAAGCAGTCTCTTTCGTTGTATCATATTTATACACAATTAGTAAATTGTTTCCTTTCCATGCCTGTTATGTGTCTGAGGTTTTGAAGTTTTTATTAAAAAGTATGCCAGTATGAATATAAGCATTTGATTTTAGTAACATTGGACTTAAAAGTACAGAGGTTCAAAGTATAGGTATGTCCACTGGCATAAGAATAGAGTGGAAGAGGAGGGTCTGAATCAGGATCCAAGTTTGTCAGGTCAGTTGCCAGAAGAAAGAGCAATCAACTGAACTGGTTTACTTCAAAAACAGAGTGGGCCCGTGCAAAGAGTGAGACCACATGTGGGTGTGCACACCTGTTGTCCCCAGGTTTCCCTCCCTCTGAGCTTTTCCTTCCCTCACTTCTCTGGCCTATTGTCAGTGTTGTTTCTTTATGCTTAGGGAGAGGAAAACAGAAGTGAGGTTCCTACACCTTGCCTAACTGAGCCACTACCAGGTTTGCTGGCAGCTGTGGCCACATTATTTGTGAGGTGATTTTTTTTGTTTGTGTTCAGAGTGACTTTTGATTCTGATTATGTTGTTTTATATGGAGTGGCACTTTTATCTGTGTTTTAGCAGAATTGTTCCTCTGTATCCTTTACGATTTTTTGTTTCCTTTTTAAATTATGCATAGAGTTTTTGTGTGTGTGTGAAATTAAAGCCTTTATTAACCTTATGTTGGTTTGACTGTTATTTCTGAGAAGGATACATTTTTGCAGACACTTTTAACAACCAGTTGTTTCAAGTTGTGGAAATCACCTTCTTTTTGGTTTTCTGACTTGGACTTCGTTGCACACTGTTACATCTTAAAGGAGATGGAATGGCGAACCAAAGTTTGGCCATAGTCACCACTGGTTATTTTCATCTGAGGAGCCTGTGAAGCTTTATAGAGGCTTCTGTGTAACAGTTTGTAAACCTAGCATTGGCCTTCGCTCTTCCTTTGCCTTATTATTAAGAGTGGGGGTGAAGGGCGAAATAGCATTTGCATTTCCTACTTGCCTTTAGCCTAGACACACTGGATGTGCTGCTCTCACTGGGTACTATTTAGTGAGCATTGTGAAACCTCAGTAAGAGGGCAATCTCCCAGGCCGTTCAGCTCTCCTTCAACCCTTTAACTTAACACCTGAGTAAGGTGGTGAAGAAAGTATATGTGAAAAGGAAAAGCCATTACTGTGGGAAAGATGTAAACCTGCAAAATGTTTCAGCCCACTTGCCATAGATGAAAATGAGTCATGGTAGAGGAAAAACCTGTCCTGGTGCCTCAACTCTTACGTTCCATGGAGTGTTTGGCTGCTCTTCTAAGAAGGGAAAGCTATAGAACAGGATGGTTAAAAATGATGCAACACCTCAAGATAGAAAGAATCTAGCCACCTTCTTGAGAGCTGAAATTGGGACCACAGGCTCCTTGTGGAGGTATCATCTTTCTGAAGGAATAGGGAGATTGTTAAAAGTGGCATTGCCATAGACTGCTGTTCACAGGCACAACTATAAAATTTCACTTCAATTGGCATAGGTCTAATACCAGTTATAAAACAGAATGCCACAAGCCAGGTAAGGTAGAGTGCTGCTTTACAACCACAGCTACTCTTCCTTCTCAAAATAGTCCTTTTTCTTTCTTGAGATTTTGTTGTTTCCATTGAGGCAGGGCAGAGAAGGCATCTGGAGTCATCCCAAAGGCCTTAGTGAAATCTTCAATGGACAGATGCTCCTAGAAGAGGAGAGGGACCAGAGGGCAAAGGTCATGTTCTTTTTCAGGGTTTGCTCTGATGAGTCATACAGGTGTGGCATACAGTCAGTCAAATGAAGAGCAAAAACTAGCAATGTCAGGAGAGCCAGGAAAGGGATGGGGAGGAGGGGGGCGTGGCATTTTGTGATTCCAGAGGTTTGATCCCTGATACTGTAACATGATGATAAAGGATGGTAACATGGTAAATTGAGTTTTTCTTCCTACCAAGGTCAAGTTCACATTAGCCCTGAAATAAGAATCAGGACAGTTGACTTAGCTTGGTCAAGGTGTTGCTTCTCTTTCTAAGCCTTAGTTTTCCTCTCTGTAAAATGGAAAACATTTCTGTTTCCAGTTTTTTTGCTTTTATGAGTATGAAGATAATATTACATTTGAAGGATACTGGAAACAAGGTACATTGTTCGCCTACCTTCACTTAAACCGTGAATCTAAGCCTGACCCACAAAGTAAGCCAATGAGCCCTAGATGGGTATCCGCTCAAGTCTGGATACCTAAGATTTTGTTGCTATCACAGGACATATGGCTCTTGTAGCAAAAGCCCATCACCCTTGGGAGGGGTCTCCCTCCTGGGCCCTACCTTGCTTTGGATCAAGTTAATAGACTGGCAGCAAGGGAAGCAGGGCCCACTCTATCCCTGATGGACAGAACAAAATAGCTTCTAACTTAACATATACTACTGTGGCACTTACAAAGATACTGAGGCAGATTTGAATATTCCCATTTTCAGGTAATAAAGCTAAAGTTCAAGAAAGTCAAGGTCATCTGATTCCAGTACATGCTCTACTGTACCAACTGACTGTACCTTCTTAGAGTGGTTTCAGGCATACTATAAAGGCTTCTTGTCATCTTTCCCTCCCAAACCTGCAAGGTATACTATTACACTTGCTGTTGACTAGAATTTTACCATTATAGATAGCTTCATTCCTCTTGGCTTACAGGTTTGTTCCTGGTTAAAAGACAACATGTTAAAAACCTCATGAGGCTGGCGCGATGGCTTCACGCCTGTAATCCT